CTAACTCCGAGCAAAGTCACGAATCCCATTTATCTTTCGAGCGCCCTTTGACTGCGCAATAGGATCACTCTAGACCTTTTCTTTCCGTAACAGATGTATAAAAAATAGAAGAGAAATGAATACCAGTCTATGTTAAGAAATTAATTACTTTTTAAGAAGAGTCAAACGCACAAAAATTACATGGAAAAGATATAAATAACAGTTTATTTTACGAAGTAAAAAACTTTTTAAGAGGGAGTTTGTCCTCACAATAAAATTACGTTCCATCTCTATTCAGAGACCTTACGTCACCCCTCATCTAAACGCGATAGCAATAGTCTCAAGCGAAATATTGCTGTAAATATTTACGTATCGCTCTATTCAACTTACTCTATTATTACAATGGGATTTCTAAATATTTGTTGTGATCTCACATACTAATGATAGAGAAATTAAACAAAATGTAAAGTAATAAATGGACTTTTGATAAATAACACCTAATTCAATAAAATATTATCCACTATTGTAATAGCTAAATGGGTTTTTCTAGTTATTACCAGAAATGAAAACGTATTTTATATTCGTAATACTTTATTGGTACATCTTAACAGAACTGTGGCCAAGACAAGTATGAATGATTATCTCTAAATATCGTTTACAGATCAGTTTTGTACCCAAACTATTTTAATAAAAATTATGAAACTAACTCGGTCGATATCAATAACATTACTTCTATTTGTAATTAAACAATTCATTATTAATCAGCACATATGATCATGAATAAGTCCGAGGTTGATGGAATAAAAATACTTTATTTAACAATATAATTTCTGTGTATTTCCCACCATATTTTATTCAATAATAATCATATTTTCTTCTTATAATTATATGGCAACGGAATAACCATATACAGCCTAAACATATCATGTCAATATTCCATTATTATAAATTTATCTACTATACAACTCTGTATATTTATTATCGTAACTATTATAATCTAACAATTGTAGGTACATTGTTAGCATTGTGTCGACTAATTCCCATTACTGACAATTTCTCCCTCCCCTGTTTCTCATTTCCGATGTCACGTAGCTTGCATCGTAAGCTGTATCTTGTTTCGAGGGTGAGATATGTCAGTGAATATACAAGTTAAATTATTGCATCAACAGTTTACATCAACTGTTTGAACAACAGATCATTTCCAGTGACACATAGAGCTAAGGTATCAACGGATAATGAGCAAGCTCTGATTCAGCGTTTATCAGGACCAGCTAATCGTCCTCCCAGCGAATCGATGGATTGATTATGTCCGTTGAATTAATGGGGTTACGTGAGATAACTTTAAGCAGAACAAGAAATTATTTGAAATTAAAAATTGACGAACTTCTAAGTTTTTCATGGACTCACCGCTCGGGTGCCGGGGCCATCGTGTGACACAGAGAGATGCTCCGAGCAGTTCCCGGGACTTGTGACTCGGTGTTAGTTTAATGGTACCTTTTGGCGACCTACATCGCTCGCGTTTCTCTACCTGTCCAGTTAAATCTGGTAGAAGCCTGCTAGTGCTGTTCTAGATACATGTTCTAGTATAGAATTTACTGCAGTAATAATAACGTTTTTCCCATAATCTATCTTATACATTATGCATACTTTGATACTAACATTAGAAAAGCTAAAGTCTGTCTGTCTGTTTGTTATCTTGTCACGAACCTTTTAAAGGACTGAACAAAATAAATAACACCATAAACATTTCAAAACACACTGCGATACCCGTGTGTTATACACATATCATAACATCATACGCATAATTTTTAACCTAGATTTTATTCCACCCTTCAATTTTAACCATAGTGTTAGAAATATAAATAATCTCTATTCAAATAAACTTAACCACTACACTATAACTATAGGCACTTTTGAATAGTTCAATTTTTGAAACGGCTGCTGCTCTTATATATAAATGTTGTTTAGAATTATATTATTATGATTTTGTGTCAATACAAACTACCAAATAGCAAAGTGGATAAATAAACAATTAATTGAGGAAGTCATAGTTATCAGAGCCGAACAGTTCCTACAAGCAGAGTTAGGTAGGAAAGAATCGTCTGCTTCATTTTGCACAAAAACTCACTTTCATCAATACAAACCTTCTTTTTTAATAAAGTAATTGTACAAAGTAATACTAGCAGCAAGTTTTATCAATTGTTGTATGAAAATAATCTTACATTAAGTTTCATTTAGTTGCTGAAGTTGAACAAAAGGCCAAACGCAACTTTAACAAATGAAATGCTAAGATAAAAACAAACTTTTTCACTTTGCAACTCCGTAGCTGTCTACAAGTTGAGACTAACACTATAAAGTAGGTCAGAACCATCTTTATACCTTCGCCTCTTATTTTAGAATCACTCTAGCATAGTATACAATAAAGAATATACTTTATTGTATATCCGTTAAAGACGTAAATAATACAACACGTAATGTAAAAAAAATACAAAAAACTTATCAAAACAAGTCAGTGTGAAACGCAAGTCTGCAGAATAATATAAGTGATATAACTGTAATAACTATAATTATTTGTGTATTTTCACAATATGGAGAAATAATAAACATAAATTTAGTTCGAGACAAAGCTACAGGATTGAAGAATCTTTTAGGAAGAGGATTTTCTTTTATATGCTATGAAGATCAACGCTCCACCATTTTAGCTGATGATAACTGAAATGGAATCAAGATTCTGGGACATACGAATCGTGTTGACCACTGTGAACAATACATGGCTCCTAATGCTGATATGAGTAAAATTGATCAGCTGACTGCTGCTATCAGAACAGAAGGTTGTGCACCAAACATTCCTGTAAAACCAGCATTAGTACCACTACCAGTAATTAAAAAGTAGAAAGAAAGCAAGGAGGAAAAGAGATAAGAAAAGTAAAAAGAAGAAGAAACAGAAAGGCAGAAGTTCTGTTTCTTCTGATTAAGAATTGAATAATAACGGTACAAATTAAACATATTATTTTAAAAAATCAGGATAATTCACACAACGCCATAATCTAGTTCTAGGCCCAAGCTAGTTCTAATCCATAGCTTGTGTTATGGTTACTAGACAACAGATAGGAATACGTAAATACATGTTTTTTGAATACGTAATATACATAGTAAGCACCCAGATCGATACAAACAATCATACTTACGAATACAAATATATGTACCGTGCGAGAAATCGAACCCGCGACCATCTGAAGTAAAGAGGTATGCTAAACTGCTAAAGAACCGAGACCGTCAAATAAGATTGCAATAAGATATTTTTATTAATAAAAAGGATAACTGTTATGTAATTTTTATAACAAAGATAGGATCAATGTGATCCTATCTTTGTTATAAAAGTTACATAAGCATAATAGTATATATAATAAAATAATCTTAACCATAGCAACCGGGTACCTAACGATCCATTATCCTGAATAAGGAATTCTTAAAGTTTAATTATACGGTGGCTGAACTGATATCTACAATCTAATGTAGCCAGTATAACGTGAACTTCAGTATAGTAGGGCTGACTTTATAGTGCTATTCACTATGTATAGAATGAGGGTAAATAAAGAGGTCTCGTTCACCTGGTCGGTTACTGGAGATGGATAGGATCTTACAGTGGTAACATTTAACAAAGGAGATGTAGCTAACGATAACTATCTGTTAAGCTTCTCGATAAACGCTTTACTTAAATAAAGTGTCGATATAAAAGAAATTAACTATTCTTTCGTCGTTCAGGCTCTCAAACTTTGAATTGACTTACCTCTTGATATCAAAATCGCTACAAATCAATTTTCTTTTAAACGTAATAGGAATATTATCTGAATTTGTAACTTTTTCTCTTCTTTCATAAAAAATGAAAGAAACAAAAAGTCTACTCCCTTTAGTTTTGTGATTGTCAGACTATTTGGTATATATTTAAGTGTATTTTATGTATATATGTATATGTTTGTGTAATATATTATTATATATCTTAGGTATATATTGTATTTCTTTCTGTTTATATTTTGTTGCATTTTGTTTTGCATATTTGCACTGCCAACAATTATTATCTGCACCACCGATGGTCGCCTGGTAAAAAATGCGTCATGTACTGTAATAATACATACATGTATAGTATAATAGATTTACAAAAAAAAATATCTAAGTATCTGTTGTTATAACTGTTGTCTAGTATCCATAACACAAGCAATGCTTACTACGGGACTAGATGGCGCTGTGTTAATTGTCCATGATTATTTATCACTTAAAGTACTGTAAGTACACAATTTTACCGGTGTACGTATCTTTTATTTGAAGGTGTTTGCACTAAAGTGACCTGTAGCACTGCGACCTACATAGATCTATTATGCTCGCCCTTTTTTAGACTTCGCTGTCACTCAAAGACAAGAGTTGAAAGATATAAACACATATATATATATTATACATAGAACACACCCAGAGCGATACAAACAATTATACTCATGAATACAAATATTTGCACCGTGCGAGGAATGGAACCCGCGACCATTAGATGTAAAACAGTGTATTAAACCGCTAGACTATCCAGGCCATCATTATATATATTGTATTTACTTCTTTTTTTACATACTATATTTTTTTATTATACTGTGTTGTAAAATGTATATACATTACGACCGATGGTCGCGGGTTCGATTCCTCGCACAGCACAAACATTTGTATTCATGAGTATAATAGTTTGTATCGGTCTGGGTTTTTCTATGTATAATATATGTATGTATTTACAAAAAAAATCTATGTATATGTATCAGTTATCTAGTACTCATAACACAAGCTTTAGCTAGCTTAACTTGGGTCTAGATGGCGCTGTGTGAATTGTCCTGAGATTATTATTATGAGATTATTACATTACGTGTATCTGTTGTTGTGAATAAAGTAAATATTTATCTATCTACTATGAGGTTGACGACTTCTCCTTTGCCATTCCATACATAAAAAAAAATCTAAATAAATATGAAAAAAAAATCACTCACCGTCTTATCCAGCAGCCAACTTGCGGGAAATATCAATGGTATGTACGTCACCATATACACCATAGAAGTCCACGACACCAATGTACTGGGCACACCGTAATAGTTCACCACTATATCCTGAATGATCGCGTACTGCGTCCATTGCATCGAGTTCGACGTTGAAAATAACACAAACAGACATAATATCAACCATCTTGAGTAATACACTCTGTATCTACTGCCAGGTGGTTCCAGAGACAAACCATCCATTATACTCGTACCACCAGAAGTGTCTATGGTTTTTGACGGTTTGTCGCTATGAAAACACAATGCCGATTGCACCGGCTCGCAAGGATTTGTCAATAACTTCTCTGGCAGTGTGGACATTGTGTCTTTTGCTCCAAATAATGCACTTGTGATTAAAAAAAAACACTTCTAAATTTAAAATATCAAAATGTCACTTATCAAAAATTTCGTAAATAGGTTATAAAGTTGTACTGCTATAATAATTCTCTATTGAAAATAAGCCACTGTCGTATCTTTGGTGATAATCACTTTATCTTGCTCCCATTCATCTTTCGTTGCCGACGAGCCGTCTGTTCACGTGCGCTTGCGTTCACTAAATGACACGGTATATCAGTTCGATAACATTCGGAGTCTGCAAATACCTATCAAATTATGAATGATGATTTTGCTAATTAAACATTTGTAGGTTATGGTTTTTACGTTACTATATATAGGTAACTAACAAGATGCGCCAGATTCAGATCAGCGCAGTATTGTGTTAAACACTATTTTTTAATACAAAATATAGTCTATATACTACCACAGATAACATAATATTACATAATACTACTTAATAAAGTAGCTTTCTATACGAGAACCATTTAAGAAATCATTCTTAAAAGGTTGTGTTATCTATATATTAATACGTGAAGCAAAAATCTTTGTAATCCTTTTGCGTAAATTGCGCGGACGATGGACTATTAAATTTCGCATACTTATCTTTACGTATAATAAAATGAAGTCGGTTCCGTTGTCTGTTCGCTTCGACCTTTATAATTTTTGGGTGTTTAAGAAGAAGGTTTATATGTATAACTAGCTGTCCCGGCAAACGTTGTTTTGCCATATAAATTAATAACGCTATAAAAAAATAGGGGTTGATGATAGAAGAGTGAAAATTTAGGATTGTATGTATTTTTATATGTTGTATCATAAAAAAATAGAAACTAAAAATTTTGTCTAAAAAATAAAAAAAAAAATTTAGGGGTGGACTACCCCTAACATTTAGGGGGATGAAAAATAGATGTTGGCCGATTCTCAGACCTACTCAATACGCTCACAAAATTTCATGAGAATCGGTCAAGCCGTTTCGGAGGAGTATGGGAACGAAAACTGTGAAACGTGAATTTTATATATAAGATATATGTACACCCGTGGATAGCTAATAATTTACATAGAGAATCAATATCGTGACATTATATAAACGCAAAATTATTGTCATCTCTCTGATCGCCGTACCAATGTAACTTTGATTACACTTGCTTTAACTTCCACGATACAAGCATAGACTAGTGTGGAGTCATAGATAAAATGTTACTCAAGTTTTCCGTAATAAATGTAATTCTATACTAATTATAAAAAAAATACATTAAATAAATAAAAATTCAAAAACACACACACTATTGTTAATTTTCCGATTGAATAAATATAAGTATAAAATATCATTTCATGACTTAGACTGCGAATAACTTAACCGAGCACAAAACTTTGAACGCGTTTTTTTCGAAACTGTCTTATTCAATATGTTTGGGAAACTACTCTGCTACCAAAATGTTAGGGAATTTACTCTGTTACTAAAATAGGTGGAAACGTCTGTCTAAATACCTTTATGGACCGTAAAGGTACGTGACTGACGCTCCTCCTATTTTTACCTATTTTAGTAACATAGTAAATTCCCTAACATTTTGGTAGCAGAGTAGTTTCCCAAACACAATATTTGTTTGAACACGTGATTTCTGAAGTTCGATTGAAGTTCTAAAGTTCGACTGAACCGATTTACTTGAAATTTTTAGAGACTCTTCTTTATAGACTCCTCTTGGCCATGAATTAGTCTCATCCCCAAATTCCAATTTATTTATTCTATTCAATAAATTCGAGAAGGTAAAAAAAAAGGCAACAAATGTTTTTTTTCAGACAGTTGCCATTTTGTAAATTTTTTTTACTTTTCCCTAGTTTATGACGTTGCGACATTATTGTAAATGAATAATCTTTTTTCTTTTATTTTAGATTACTAGGAGGGATAAAATCATATGGTCACCAGCCAATAATTCGAGACCCCCCACTTCATAAACTGCTAATTTTTAGTTTTTTATAATTTGTTTCTGTACTCTTAATAACGTTAATAAATAACTTATGAAAAAATGGATACTAAAAATATTAATTGCATTTTTTTACACTTTAAAAATGACTTAAAATTCATACTTTAATTAGTTATTCATCATTTAATTAGTTTTTAAATATGAAATTTATTACCATTACACGCGGAAGAATCCCGTATCGCTATATGTAACTATATGTAACCGTATGGCATTATATGTCAATTAAAAAACAATCACGCAAATATAAGCATACAATAGCGAAGTGGTGTACAAATCGAAATCAATTGCTACATCATTAATATTATTGTCTACTTGGCACAGTACATACATACATTTATTTATGTATGTATTATACGACGGCCTCGGTGGTCTAGCGGTTTATCACACCGCCTTACTTCCGATGGTCGCGGGTTCGATTCCTCGCACGGCACATACTATTGTATTCATGAGTATGATTGTTTGTATCGGTCTGGGTGTTTTCTATGTATATTATATATGTTGTTTACTGTAAGGGGTTTCTACCCCTTACAACCAGTCCCCCTTTCTAGGGGAGATAAAAGGTTGTATGGAAATTCGTCATTTTTAAGCTCGTACGATGTAACTTTTTTGGGTTAGATTATTAAATATTTTATTTTTATTTAGTCAACTATTTGACGAGGACGAAGTCACGAGCATAGCTACTTTCCAATATATGTACAAAAACATTCAAAATTGGTAAAAATATTACAGTTAATGGTGTAAAATAAAATAGAAGATAAAAGTTTGTATGGAAATTCGTTATTTTTTAAAGCTCGAACGATGAAACTTTTTTTTAAAATATTGGGTTAAATTATTAAATATTTTTTCTTTATTTGGTCAAGAATTCGACGCGGACGAAGTCATGTGCACAGTTAATTTCAAATATATAAAAGGAACAAATACATTAAACTATCCGAGATAAATCAGCAAGATAAACTGACATTATTATCTAGATATAAATAACAAGATGCAAGCATAAATATTTACCGAATAGGGGATCTAGTACTAGACTTTACAATACCTATCTCCAATATTATACTCAGGATTTAGATGTGTAAATTATAGTTTGTTTTCTTATGTTTATCTGTATCCTAGCTTATAGGCTAGAATAAAGATAGAGGTAATAATAATCATATCCTTGGATCATTCACACAGCGCTATCTACTCCAGAGCTAAATAAAGCTTGTGTTATAAATACAAGAGAGCTGATACAAATATTCAAATACATTTTTTGTTGACATAGTCTAGAGGTTTAGCAAACCGATTTTTGCAGGTTCGATTCCTCGCACGTTGGAAACATTTGTGTTCATGAGTATGATTGTTTTTATCGGTTTGGGTGTTTACTATGTATATTATGTATGTATAAAAAATCTAAGTATATGTGTCAGTTGTCTAGTACCCTTAGCATAAGCTCTGCTTAGCTTGGGACTAGATGGCGCTGTGTGAATTGTCCAGCGTTATTATTATTAACGATGCAATTTTATTTTGAAAGGCAATAAAATAATAAAAAAAATCTATACATACATATAAATAAAATTGGAGTGTCTTTTTGTAATATTGAAATAACCATTTTTTACTACATGCATATGAATATTAATACGGTACATACACCAAAATAACAGTTTTTACAATTTTTGTCTGTCTGTCTGTTTGTTCCGGCTAATTTCTGAAATGGCTGGACCGATTTTGATGGGACTTTTTCTGGCAGGTAGCTGATGTAATAAGGAGTAACTTACGCTACTTTTATTTTAGAAAAATGAAGTTAAATTCCACGCGGACGAAGTCGCGGGAACAGCTAGTAAAAAATAAAGAAAAAGGTTCTTGTTCGATACTTTTATAATTTTGAGGAATATTTTACAAAATATAATATACTATTATATTACTGACAAAAAAATGTTTCTTCAAACAGCTATTAATTGAATAAATTCAATGGAATTTACTTTACTTACATATGTAATATATTGAAAAATTGGCAATCACAAAAAAAACTTTTGTTCTAGATGCCTTGTTTACTTTCTACGAGCTCCCGTTAAAACCACAATGTATTATTAATTAAACTTGAGGTTTGCAGAACTCATTATCTCCAGTAATAAAAATTTATCTCGAGCGCGCGTCGGGTCGCATCTTTTCGTATTATCTGCACAAAACATCCGTTTGTATAACCATCGCGTTATTATTTTAATAATAAATAAAACTATTGGTTTTTCCAAACTTATTACGATTACAACTTTATTACAGAGCAATAAAAAAATGCCTCCGGGCAATTTAGACAACCCATCTAGTGTAGTGTTGCCAACCGTCCTGTTTTCCCAGGACATGTCCTTGTTTTTGTAGTGTCCTGGGATATCCTGGATAATTATAAGCAACGTCCTGGGTTTTTAAAACGCCCTGACAAGATCATGTATTTTCAAAATTCGCGCGCCATTTTTGCAATGGCTGCTCGAATTGTAGATTTTTTTTTAAATACTATTAAGTAAAGACTGTTTGGATTACTTGGATTTTATTAATTTAGCCTATTGACATTATATAATAATATAATTATAACAAGTATATTACTGAGTCCTGGTTTTAAACTGAATTGTTGTTTGGTTTTTCCAACTTAAAATCCTAGTTTTTTAAATTTGGTGTTGGCAACCCTAATCTAGTCCCAAGATAAACAGATCTTGTGGTATGGGTACTAGAAAACTGATATAAATACTTAGATATATATATTTAGAGAAGGGAATTGTTAGCAATAAGGACTGATGATCTTATTGCTAGCAATGTACCATGTCAGATTGATTTCCACGCGGTTCTCCCTGGAAACCATCGATATAAATTTTTGGTGAATTTGTCACAATGGGCTCACTGACCTGACTGACCTCATGCTCATCTTAACATCTTCCACTGATGTTCCGTTATCGTAAACCGTTAGAGCAGGCATTATCATCCAGAAAAATATATGTATACTAAGAAAACATCGAGACCGATACAAACAATCATACTCATGAATGTAAAGGTTTGTGCTGTGCGAGAAATCGAACACGCGACCATCAGAAGTAAAGCAGTGTACTAAACTGCTAGACCACCGAGGTTGCCGAGCCATATATTATCAATAAATATGTGATATATGTCAGTCACTTTGCTAGATACTCATAATATATCAACACTGAATATATATTTAATCAAAATTGTTTTCACAACGTTGAATAAAACAAAAATTATAAAAACACTAGCTTTTGCCCGCGGCTACGCTCGCGTTAATTTATCCCCTTAGGGGTGGAATTTAT